ACACTGCAGAAGGACAATATACTCTAGCGTAACGTCTAATGTCAATTTATCAAGGATTTATCGAAAACCATTATCAGAAATTGGTGAATTTATTTCACAATGTCCAGTAACGTGTCTAAATAATATTTAAACAATGTAACTCATACTTTAAAAGAGAACTGGAAATTAGCCATCAGTTGAATTCGAATAGTCTAAACATTAAATAGTTTCACACGGCGGTATGTACCGTACAGTTGAACATTTAGAGGCAGATCACAAATTATTCACCCTCATATTTGTGTATCTCAAAATATCCAAGGTAAATTTCATACCAACTTTGAAGCAAGACATGGTCAGATGTTACTCCGTATGTGGTGGACAGTGTTTGGAGCAAGGAAAAGTTAGGGGGATAATTGGTACCGAACAAAGAGACAATTGGACACAGCTCACCAAATATTTCTACGCCGTCACCCACGAATGTAGGGCAAAAGTTATTTTTAGTCTTTCTCTCCCTTTCCCTTTTCCCCCTTTTGCATGGCGATTTTTGTTGACTTTTTGGTGCAGAATCGAAGAAAAGGGTTTGAAAATACATGTTCTACCAGGTTTGGGTGAATATTCATGATTTTGAGACGGAAGGATACAAGAGTTGAGAGGTTGGTTAGGTTGAAATGTAGGGTCCAAAATTGCATGTTTTCTTGTCTCTACTTCCAGCTTGTGTATCTCAAGTTTTCCATGGTGAACCTCATACGTGCTTTTGGGCAAGAGGTTGCCATATGTTGCTCCATCTATGGTAGAAAGCGTTCTACCCAACGAAAATTTGGGAAAAAGTTAGAGCCGGTCTAAGAGACGAGAATTAACATTAAAGTCAATGGGCAAATATTTAGTGATCTGTGGCCAATTACAATAAAATCATTGGGAAAATATTTGGTGGTCTGCATCCATTTCATCTATCAATTTATTTGGATTCTCTCCCATGGACTAGTAAATAAAATGTTTTTGTTTACGACCTGGCCTGATTATATAACACACTAATTTGACAGCAATTTCATTTTGTAAGCATTAGGCCTGTAGAATTTGTAAACTCTTCGAAGACTGGCTTTCAGTTAAGGTGTGTTTTTCTCCAATAGGGAATAAAATGCGGTATAATGCCCTATTATCCGCTACAGCCGCAATTTTAAACATTAAAATGAAATGAAATGAAATGGGGTTTAACGTCCTACTGTTCTGCTCCTAACCTGGGCTAATGAAGACGGGCATACGCCATACAGTGTGCTATGAGGGAAATTTTGCCCGGCCTACTCTTATATCGAATTCCATCTGCCAAGGGATCTTTTACGTGCACTCCAATGTGTACACGGGTCCCCGGTTTTTCGTCCCATCCGAACGACTAGACAGCTGTCCTTGCCAGGCCCCCCATCCTGCATCACTGACAAGGGGAAGCCACGCCGGAAAATCTGGGTGAACTTTCTCGGCCAATGCAGGGATCGAACACCCGACCTCCAGGCTAGCGAGCCAGCGTCTTACCCACTTAGCCACCATTAAAGCAAGTCGGCATGAAAAATTATTCAATAGTTATTCAGTCTATCTAAATAAAAACAAATATTTCAAAATCTAAGTAACTAAAACGCGGAATATTTTGGTCGTTATCTCTGGTCTTCTTACAACGTTATAGATGAAAAGTCAAATGATAATGAAACTTTGATTTGGATATATACACGAAGAGAGTGCAAGCTAACTGTTGAACAAACATCTTTCCTACATTTTTATATGGAAATTAATATTTAGCGCTATTATCGTGTCAAATGAATCTCACTGTAGCCAAACGGGTAATATCGGAGTTTGAGTCTGGGTGGATCTGTGAGGAAGACGCTGGCGCACTAGCCAGGAGGTCCGGGGTTCGATTAAGGTGTTAGTTGAGAACATTCCCCCGAACTTAACAGCGTGGGTACGGGACGGATGTCCGGGCAAGGATAGCCCTAGATAACAAACCTTAATCTCTCAACCCTCCGTGTTTCGAGTTAAGAACTGAGGCCATGACCTATAACGTTGCAGCTGCCGGAGCGATTCACACCCGGCATTTTTAAACAAAATTGACAATAGTTTTAATCAAAACAACGATTGATTATTGTTATTTATAATATTTCTACAACACCCAACTACAATTAAGCATATAATCCTACCTGAAACGGGTACAAATCGTCGTTTTTAAAATCGAGGCGTTAAGCCGTTACTAAGACCGCCATCTTTTTAAACGATACGCTGTCATCATGAAGGCGGGGCTAAATATAAGGCTTTTATAACAGCCAATCAAAAGGACAATCGAAAGCACAGTAACTATGAATGGATTTCGATGGCGCTGAAATGTCAGACAAAAACAACGCTTCATTAATTTAAACGCGAATATTTGGAATTAGGCGACATTTGTGCCACTACATTGGCCTCTGTAAGTTTAATTAATCATAATATCATAAACTTATCTATTTTAAAGATGTTACATGCATTAATAAAGAAATTGAGTTTGCCACTTGGAACTAAAGGCATCCAATCGTAGCTAAAAACAAACACATCAGTATATCTCAACGTTTTTAGCTACGTTCTCGTAGCTAGGATAGCCCGAATGGGACGAAAACCGAGGTCCCGTGTACACGTAAAAGAACTCTTGGCAGTTGGAATTACCCCAGACGATACAGAAAAGTTGGACATTGAACCCCATTGCATTTCAAATATAGGAGGAATTTATCATTGTTATTTACAGATTTGTTTTTGGATTTATTGGCTTTATCTGCCTTATATATGTACGTAAATTTAATAGAATAAACAATCTGATTAAAATGCAGATTTATATTTGTTTCGTTTCTTTATATTTTCGATGGCCTACACTACATGGAGATCTGACCAGTTGTATTGGGATGTCACGACAGGGGTCATACGAGCGGATTTTGATCCTATGACGTCAGACATTGATTAATCAATCAGCGTTGACTTTTCTAGGGGTTTGCCCTCAGTTCCGTGCAGAGCACGCCAACAGCTCGCCGTAACAGACCGTTTCATTGGCTAATTCCTCACATTAACTCGAACGTCTGTTATATAACAACTCTTCCAGATCCAAGTGTGGTGAAGACAAGTAAAACGAAATTTTGAATTATAAAAAACGAAACGAAATAGGATCTGGGTTTAAACAGAATGTAGAATAAATCAAATTGGGTTTAACGTCTTACTTTTCTGCTCCAACTAAGTTGATGAAGACGGACATTTGCCATGCAGTGCACTATGAGAGAAATTTTGTCCGGACTCTTATTAAACTCTAACTGTCAGGGGTTCTGTTATGTGCATACCAAGGTGCACACCCGAACGACTAGGCGCTGTTCCTTGCTTGACCCCCAATGTACATCCCTGACCAAGAAAAAACCCACGATGAAATATCATGAGGAACTTTCTCGGTCAGCCGACAACTTCCATGTAAGCGAGCCACCGTCTTAATCACTGAGAAATTTACAAGATCAGTTAGAACTGTTGATTATTACTAATTGTAAGGAACAGTGGAATATAAGTACTTAAACATAAAAGTACAACAAAAGTTCAACAGAAGTCTGTTATATTATTCACTGGGAAATACCCTAATTCACTCCAGTTTTTGCGTTCTCAACGGCAATATTCACATTAAGAATTACACGAAATTACCAAAGAGCTATTTTAAAATCTAGTGCAAAGCCTACGTGTACAATGGGATTTTTTTTATGTAAGCTACGACGCTTAAAATTTACAATTGGGATTTTGATGGACCAATGAACTTCGTTTTGATATCTAGTGACACCAATGGTTACAAAAGCCTGGGGTGTGTCTGATTCTATTGAATCCAAACAGGATTTAGTTATAAAACCACCTGATGTTTTTCTTTTCTGGGAATTTGCCTTCAGACATCAATAGATAATTAAAAATATGTCAGCGCACAGACAGTTAAATAGATATGAAGATATGTAAACTTGACATATTATTGAGAACAGGTCTGAGATACGAAATGCTGAAAAATTAATCAGATTGTACAATATTTCTATGTTAAATTCTAAGATCGTGAATTTTGTTTACTTCGCCCATATTGTACATTATGTAAATTATCGTCAGATGTAACCGACAATCTGAAGAACATAAAAAATTAGCACTTTTTACTAGATTTTGTGTGATTTCCTCGTCAATCTTTTCCCCTCATTAATCTTAACATCGCGTAAAATTGACCAGATTATCGCTGGAATTACTTAATCAACAGATCGCCAACTGATTTTCCAAAGAGATGCTGGCGAAAACCAATCTATTTTATGTCTTTTTTAGAAATTTGTATTTATTTGTTATACCACCAATTGAATCAAATTAGATGTTTTTACCGGACTCGGGCTGTTTATTGTAAACAGAAAATGGGCATGCAACTGGTCCATTCACGCAAAGTCATCATCCAAGGCAATTTCGCACAAGTAGTGCAGCTTTGCGATTGTGCCAATATTCAAGACGGACAAACAGTAAGATATGGTTCTCGACAATATAAACATTACAGCAAGTGAGGGGGTGGGGGTGGATGGCCGAATGGTTAGCGCGTGCGCGTTGTATCATAAGGTCTGCCATTGAGTCAACTAGCGTGGTTTCGATTTCCCGGTTGTAGGTGACAAGGAGTAGGGTCGCCTGTCAAACCTCGTGGGTTTTCTCTGGGTCCTCCGGTCCCCCCCCCCCCCACTGACAAAGACCCCTACACGCAAGTGAATTATTGAAATAAAATTGAACCATATGTTAGTCTCGAAATGATCTAGTTTGTGTCGATTGGGCGTTAAACCCCATTTCTCTCTCTTCTCTCTCTACAGCAAGTGACACATTTTCTGCCCTTTTTTTTAGCTATAAATATTTCCTTTTATATTTACGAGACTCCAGCTACATCGTGGGGGGGGGGGGGTGTCCTTTTTTAATAACACCCATGCCTTTTTCATCAGAGTACCACAGATGTGTATTATTGATTTTGATAGAGAATAAAACAAAAATTGAAATCAAATGTATTATATTATTACTATAAGCTACATGGATATGTATCAGCTACATTCATTTATTACTAGCAAGCGGTTATAACTATTTGATTTATAATTTAAATCTTTCACAGCTTTTCACCTAATTTTTGTATCGCCAAAACGTGTAATCCTTCGGACTCTTTCCTGGTTTAAATCCCCAATTGTCGCGGACAATTTTATCTTTACCAGCGTGAGTTGACGTTCTATAGCCGGTCAAGATGGCGACATGTTTACCATTTGAGAACACGTCACCTTCTTCCGGTTGGGTTTTCACCAATTCCCAGTTGTCATCGCCCAGTAAAAATTCCGATTTTGGATCTCCCCACTCTTTTACTCCAATGGGTCCTCCTATTCCTAGCCACCTATAAGTGAAAAATGCATATTACATTTATTAATTACTAGCACATTAATCTTTTTATAAAACATCAACAATCAAATTACTTATCAATCTGCTTAACCTACATAGAAAATGCCCATTATCTAACTTCAAACCACGTTTCATCACTCTCGATCAATTCTAATCAGAATTACCGTGTTCCAAAGCATCGAGGTATTGAACTATACGACATGATTCATCACCGTCACTCTTTTATAATAAGCCTCGACTAATTTTATTATCTATCTCTGAGCAGAAAATGTTAATTTTTGAGCTTCGTCGAGGCATTAGGTGTATTAAAACTATAGACCAAGTTTCAGTACTCTCGATCAATTATAATCAACGTTGTCGTTGTCTACGAATATGAATTCATTAAATTTAGACTAAATGATAACGTTTAACAGTAAATCGGTATAGGACCAATCGACACAACTAATCCTGTACAAATAGACCCGATAACATACCCAGTCTCGATAAGGGAGTGATAAAATTCAGGAATTTTATCCATTGCTGCAGCTATCTTTGCACAAGTCAAATTGGGGATGGTGGATATAGTTCAAATCTATCGCTGGGAGTACTGATACTGTCCCTAGTGTCTTACTTTTTAGGTACACTTCCGCCAGCTTGTTCAATAACATCAGCCACAAAAAAGTGGCATTTATCAGTTCCAGGTCCTGTTTCAGACGATGAATCATTACTCCAGTCATCAGAACCAATATGGCTCTCGGCAATAGACGATATCATTTCACCTGTCACAACCTACAGATAATAACAAGTTGCCTACATTTTCTTTATATTTCTATCTGTGATACAGTTGAACACCAAAGTAATAGGGTTTGTTGGTTTAAAATTGTATGCATTGTCGCGTACAAGTTTGACTCATTGACGCCAATACAAGGTTCGTACACTGCGTAATGCTATATATACTATAGAGGTTATTTAAGTTCTCTAAATAATGCTCTATTTAATGTATAGAAGTCGTTAGCTAGTACAATTGACAACGAGAACTGGACTAATTAGATATACTTTGTAGATTAAAATCGGGCAATAACATCTTAACCTAGTAATCAAAATATGGTATCCCACGCTTTAGAAAAGTTGGCACACGTCATTCGCCCCTCCTCCTTGTTGTGTTTAAATCCAGGGTAGCTTATAAGCAGCTGACCAATCAGATAAAGGATGTACCTGGTCAATTGTCCGGGGCCAGTTTACGGCTCACGTATTTATCCTCCTTATAAGAAAGATTGAGGTTTAAGTTTCTTCAGACATCATTCAAAGAGACATCATCGAGATGTGCTAGAGGGACGTTTAGCCGCCTCGGCTTAGAGGCCGGGATACAGACATCATTCAGACATCATACGCAAGACATCATTGGCGTTCCTAGAGGGACGTATAGACGCCTCGGTTTAGAGGCCGGGATAGAGACAGCATGTAGTGTTTCAGCCGTTAGGTCTGAGGTCAACCCTGTTAAATTCAGACTGTCGATATTATGATAACTCATAACGTACTATCATAGATGTTGTAGTTTCCTGTATTTCATATATAAACATAGTTATAAAAACACAGTGCTCCAGAGTTAATTGAACTTTGAAGTTTTATACACAACGTGGAAGTTCAGAGTTAATTGATGCATTTTGGATAACAGATAGTGTCAAACACTGGTGGAAATTGTCGGCTCACAAATAAGATGGACAAGTCATGGACGTTTTTAAAAATATCAAATATATTCAAAACAAATCCGTTTTAAAACATGACATCAATAATTTTTTTAATGATTTGGTTAAATTGGATACTAGTTTTAAAATATCAGAGCAAAAAAAAAAAAAAAAAAAATGCAGTAAATTTTAGAGAAGATGTTGATGTTATGATCTTTAAAAAAGGTTATCCTTTTAAAAACCAATTAAATCATGCGAGGGTTGAAAACAAATAATCTTTCGAACAGTTTTACAGGGTTTGCAATGGAAAGATAGTGTTCTTTTTATTGAACAGGATCAATCCTCTTATATCATACATGTTTCCAAGAACTTCTTCAACAACTTCTTCAAAATGCTAAAAATAGGTTAACGGACATACTTGAAGACAAGTATAAATTTAGTCAAGTGACAAGACGATTTTAAAATGGTGGAGCTACGTCCAGATTATTTAGGGTAGCGCCGAATTAATCATGAAAGTGGGATAATAAACTGACCTTATCATTTCAGAGGATTTTGATCAAACTGATACATTTATATCAAAGAAAGATCATAATTGAATAAATATAAGCTTTGATCGAACTAATATCATAGTTAATATACATCAGTTTTCACCAACCAGTAATATTTATATCAATGAAAGTTCATACTTAATTTTATCAATAGATATCATATTTATATCAATGAAGGATCATATTTAATAGATATCAGATTTGATCAAACTAATAATATTAATAACAAAACAATATCATTAAAATTTTTAATTATCTTACCATCTTAAGCGGTTATACGTGTATAACTTGCTACTTGATTCAAAACTGGCTGACAAAATTATTAATCAATATCATAAATATTAATGAAATTCATTCGGCAACGAGAGGTAATTTTATACATTTTCTATTTATTGATATACTTTATCTACATCCGCTGTTTAGTATTTTAATTTAAAAAAGGCCCTGGTCGTGACTTTAGCGATAAGCTCTTGCAAACTGCATTATTGTAAAAATTGAATTTCTATGCTGCCATTTTCGTAAATGATACACTTTACATTTTCTCTCTTCTTTTTCTTGTCAGAATCTGGCGACAAAACAGATGTATATTTCTGTCAAGTTAAACTTTGCACCATTTAGCAATCTAAGGTAGACTGATCGCCAATTTATTATTACAAGATTGTTCATTGTCGGATTAAGTCATGAAATTCTAACCCGCCAGCAGCCATGTTAACGTATTCACGCAATTGATGAGTCTGTTTGATTTCTTTACTAAATGTTAAATAATCAATCTAAGTACATTAACATGGATAAAGCATTGATCTTTTTGATATTTTCTGAAAATGCAAATTACGCACCATTACTAATTTCATTAACATTTTCCACCAAAAGAAGACTCTGGCGTTCTACGAATTTGGGGATCATTATTTATCCTCCTCCTCAGATCACTTGACTATTAATTTAAACAGGTATTTAGTTTTATATACTATTCAAAAAAAGTAGGGGATATTTGATTTTTAAGTGTTATTAAAGTCACCTAATGAAACTGACGAAGAAACAAATGACAAAATGAAATGAAGTTCACATTCATCGATTTATTCCAAATGATCGTTAGACTAAGTAAGGCACAGACTGACCATTATAAGGGTAAAATGATACCCGGGGTCAAACAGCAAAGTTACCACAGCATCACAACCAAGTCAGTAACGGGTAAATCCTCCTCTGTTTGCCAAACAAGCATTGATCCGACGTGGCATACTCCTAATGAGACGTCTAAGGTCATTTTGGTCCAGATTGTCCCATTCCTGTTGCAACGCAGCAGCAAGTTCTTGGACATTGGCAGGACGTTGTTAACGTTGACGTAACCTCTGTCCAAGCATGTCCCAGACATGCTCGATGGGGGAGAGGTCGGGACTCAGTGCTGGCCAAGGTAATGTGGTGATGTTCTGTTGTTGGAGGTAACCTGTAACGATCCTGGCCCTGTGACATCTTGCGTTGTCATCCTGGAAGATGAAACGGCGGCCATGACGTCGTGCGAACGGCACAACATGGACTGCCAAGATGTTGTCCCGGTAGTACTGGCCTGTAACACGCCCTGCAACAACATGTAAAGCCGTTCTTCCAGCAACAGTGATGCCACCCCACACCATAACAGAACCACCCCCAAATCGATCATGTCTGATGACGTTAACGTCTTGGAAGCGCTCGTTTCGACGACGCCACACCCTCCTACGTCTGTCCAAAAAATCAATAGTGAACCTTGACTCATCTGAAAACATCACATTACTCCAGCGTCGATTATCCCAGTGTTGACGATCCCTACACCAACGACGTCTTGCCTGAATGTGATGATCTCTCAAACAAGGGATCACGCGAGGACGTCGGGCGCGAAGGTGACCCCTATGCAGTCGATTCCGAATCGTCTGGCCACTCACTCTCACACCAGTGTCTGTTTGAAGACGAGCGCTGATCTGATTTGCTGTGATGACACGATTTCTCAAGGCCAAGGTACGGATAAATCGATCCTGGACTTGAGTTGTCGCCCTTGGTCGACCTGAGCGTGGTCTGTCCTGTACAGATTGTGTATCACGGTATCTGGACCATAGCCTGCTTATGACAGACTGAGAAACATTCATCGTCCGCGCCACAACCGCCTGTGTTGTGCCGATCTGTAGCATGCCAAGGGCACGTAACCTTTCATTTTGGGTAAGCCGACGCATATCAAAATTTGTTTTCTGGTCACTAAAACAATTAAACTGATGTTTCCACCCTGGAATTCAATGCCACAAACATTCAAAGTCAGAGTCGTGCAAATCTTGGGTTGGACCCCCATGATGATCCCAAGCATCACCTGCATTCCATGCGGTAGCTATTGGTGCGTTTGGGCGTCACATGTAACTGGAAATGTTTCTTCTGTTAGGTTCTATAGTGACTTTTTTCGTAGTCATTTGCATATTTTAGTATTATGCCCCCAAAATCAAATATCCCCTACTTTTTTTGAATAGTAGATTATTTTCATCTCGTTTCTTTAAATGAATTCTTACAGTAAAGGTCATGCAATGAGGTAATTTTGCCGCGACAGCTGTATGAACGTCCAATGGTTCGTTTACATGCAGGCCAATCTGTCACACACACACACACACACCAGTGTGTACACAGCAACTTGGCTTTTCGTTCCCGACGAGCGGAGACCAGTCTGGAAAACCACGAGGAAGTGTTTCCAACAACACCAACATCGAAAATGGGATTACCGTGCGCACTTTAAAATAATCTTTAAGAAATATATAATAATGATTCATGATTTTGGGCGCCATTTATAATAAACAAAGAAAAACATATCGCAAGAGACAATGCTGAAGTATAATTAGTAATGGTTGTTTCACAAAGGACAAAATAATAATATTGAAACGTGTGAATGGACTAACCAGGCGTCACCGATAAAAAAATTGATAATAAATTACAATAATATTTTTATAAATTGAATATAAATCGCCCATAATACATTCAGATTTACGTTTAGACCCATTTTCGTCTATTTTAACTTTCCGACGAATAGATCCCTGCGCCCTTTATCATTTAATGATAAATATAACCAGAATGTCTTTCATAGAGCTTATATGTATGGTTGCTGCGTTGAACAAAACTATACGCTCACATTTTTTATTAAATGTATAATTATTTCGTAGAGAAATGTTTCTAGATTTCATCAACACCTTATAGAGAGTATGCAGAGCTAGCCGTTTAGATAATAAAAACATTACTTTTGTGTTTACAAAAAAATCAATACGTCCCCAAACATCAAACAATGCTTTTCATTGAAAAATATAGTAATTTATTTTAAATTATCGACAGTTTGTAACATACATAACACGTTTATTATACTAAAATTTGTGATCTAACCACTTCGTTTATTTCCGTATACGAAGTAGCAAATCAAGAGATTGGGAACACTGTTAATCGAGTCACGTCAGCATTTCAAAAACATTACTATGAATCGAGAACCTCGATTTGTGACGTTATCAGTCACCTCGGAATTCTGACGAAAAAACAGGAGTCCAACAAAGGCTGTTATTTTCTTTTATTTTCTTTTTTTTAAAAAAGAAAATTTTACTCGCAGAACAGGCAGAAGGCTATAGACCCCCTCGGAGTGTCGCGCTTCGAGTTCTAGCTGACCTCTGGCTTGCCGTCCTGGTTTCGATCTGAAGTGAGCGTATGTGGCTTGGAGACACCTTCTCAACCTCGTGGGTTTACTCCTGGTACTACGGTTTCCTCCCACCAAAAAGTAGAGGGGGGGGGGGGGGTAACGTCCACTCGACACAAAATAAGTCACTTTGGGACTAACATATGGTTCAATTTTATTTCAATAATTCGCGGAGATCCCAGAGGAAACCCACGAGGTTGGAGACAGGCAATCCTACGTCACGTACAACCAGAGAATCGAAACAAGCCAGTTGACTCAAAAACAGACCTTATGATACAGCGCGCACGTGCTAACCATTCAGCCATCCAACCCCCTCGACAAAAAAGGCCCCTACGCATGCGCTAAGATAATAAAATAAGAATTGACTGCGATATCACCCTTGGTGGAAGTGGACGTTAAACACCAAGAACAATAATCTGGTTGTTCTGACCGGTAAGCTTTATTTAGCCTACACTGATCGGGGACAGCATAGTTAAAACAAGATTAGCTGCTGTTATTATCAATTACATTATAACTGTACCCCAAGCATCTTGTCTGTTTTAAAGCACACCACTATACGTATGCCAGTTAATTGAATTTTAAAATACACTGATATTACTGTAATAACCACACACAGTCATAATAATATAATAATACAAAACCTCCTGATAGCTTATAATTCAAATTTCTTTGAGGATATATTTAGTTACGACGAAAAGGCATGCTATTCATCTATGAATATTTGTAAGAACAGTTGAGCTAAGAGTAAACCCTGTTTAAGGCCGGAGTGACGCAAATGTTTGGACATAATAAGGCCACGTGTAATGAATATCATTCACTAAGTTTTTTAACAGCAAAGTTTCAGTGAAGTTACTTTCATCGTTCTCTTATTATGTATAGTTTAATGGTCGAGTGCGAGGCATTAAATAATATATTGATATTTTACGAGTGCGATAGCAGTGGAAGGAAACCGGAGGACCCGGAGAAAACCCACGAGGTTGGACAGGCAACCGTACTCCTTGTCACGTACAACCGGGGATTCGAAACCACGCCAATTTACTCAATGACAGGCCTTATGATACAGCGCGCACGTGCTAACCATTCCCCCCCTCTTAAATATTGCTAATGCCCTTCAAAGATATTGTCTCTGAAAGTAAGTTACAAAACATTCGATCAAAATAAAGAAAACGATATTTAAAAAGCTTTATGGTAATCTAGGAAAAAAATAATCAAAATCTCACCGACAAAGTGAAAGTGTGTTTAAAGTTAAATTGAATGTTATGTGTCGTCTTTAAATATATTTACGGTAACTGGTCGTATAAAGGTGTTCAGTTATAAATAGTGCAGTATATATTTATCAAAACAGTCATTCGATTCCTCGAAAAGCGTGATGGCTTTGTTGGGTGTGGATACGCGATTATCTAGTCCGTTTTGTGCATAATTTTATATCCTTTAGTATACATTTATAACTTGATCTCGTCTATACGCTATGATATAACAGTACATTTTAAGTTGACACTCCGCACAGTTGACATGATTAACACGGTTCCCCGTTTAACATTGCCTAAGGATTACTTATCGTGAATATGTAAATAGAGGGAATATAAAATAAAGGTAGGTATGTTAGTTTGATACTAATATAATATAACCTAGATAAATAATTGTAGTAATAAATGTATATATTCCTAATGAATTAATCGTACTCGTTGTACAACAATGTCGTGGACTGTGACAAGCCCCATCTACCGTAATCCGTCAGGTATATGAAGACTGCATTCATTCTTTTGGTAGAGATGCGTACCTTTATTAGTAGACCAGTTATCAAACCAGATTACGTTAGAATCTAATTTGGTCTAAGATCATGGCTGCAAACTACTGTATGCAAAGCTAAGACTTTGGCGCTGTTGGAAAAGTATATTATTTAATGTGATTTTGTTATGCTACATGGATATAATTGGATTAAATATATACAGTGATATGGGTATATAATTCCCACATAACGATATATCAATTAATATACCATGTGTCTTATATTAAACAGTAATGATTTATTCCGTGTCTATTTCTTGATAACTGACACAGAATTTAATACTATTTTGCTTCACTTCGAAATCTGGAGTACTCTATAATAATAATAATATATTTATTTCGTACTAAATTGAGTACACAATACACAGATACTTACAAAACTATGAGAAAAGTAATAAATATACAAAAAATATACATTCTCATAGTTAAATGTCTAATATGTGGACAAGTGATGAATAATTTCATTTAAATTGTTTTTATCCGTTTTACAAAACGTTTGATCCCTTAATAAAATCATATCATTTATTGCACTTACAGTTTGCATAGTAACATCATCAACATTATCGATTGATGTTAGTTTCTGTAGTATAGTATGGACACACAATTTACCTATGTCGTACTTATTGATATTATATCTATATGAAATTAAATTCAAGTTATTACATGCAGACGACAAACTACCATTTAAAGCTAACTGACCACATATAAAAGTAGCCTGATTCTTGCTACAAAGTACTGTGTGAATAAATTTAACAAAACGTTTCAATAACTGAACTTTTATAGGATAATCCGAACATATCAGATTTAATAAGTTACTGTGGGCATGTTGAGGTAAATTCCATAATCGTCGAATGCACTTTCTCCATGAACAATACAGCTTACCAATTAACTTATGCGAATAGTCTAACAATTGGGATCCATACAGAGGCATGCAATAAGTTTTGAACAATTTATATTTAAGAGAAGAGTAGGCATATCGAAATTCACTTAAAGTTATATTGACCCGTGATAAAAAATTATTGATACATCTATTGACTTGAGATTCTTTTGTATCGTGATCAAGTAAATCACCTAGGTGAATTTCAGATTTGACTAATTCTATATATTTTCCATTGAACAATATTCTGTCAATATTTATATCGTCATTCCTGGTTCTATCGTGATTCAGAAAAACAAGTTTACTCTTTTCTGGGTTGAAGTTTACATCATACTCTTGAGCATAATCATTGGCTATTTGCAAGAGTTTTGTCAGGGCATGACGAGATGGCGTAACAAGCGTCACATCATCTGCATAAGCCAGAGCTCCAGTATAAACGTGACCGACATGACATCCAAATTTGCTGTTTCTTAATCGAGACAACAATTCATCAAAATATATACTAAATAAAATTGGGGAAAGAACTCCACCCTGCTTAACACCATTTGAGACACAAAAAGGCTGTGTTGTACATTGAGCCCAACGGATTTGAACATTTTGAGTGGTATATAAATTTAACAATAAGCGAGCAATTAACGGGCATATACCTCTTTCGACAAGTAACTTAAAGAGCTTGATAAAATTTAAACGGTCAAAGGCCCGACTATATGGGAACTAGGGGAAACTTCCTTAATCTTTTAATTTATAGTTTAACTTTCCTGTGTCTTCGTTATCTTTGATAGGATAATATAGAAGTCATGTTGAAGGATTTCATTTCAATTTTTATCTATCGACGTTAAACATGTATTAAGATGACCTTTTTATTACATCGGTTTTTAAACTCCTAACAGGTATATTATACTACATCCTTTACCAATAACTTTATCTTGTTCCGGTTCACTACTATAAGATAATGTGAACACGTTTCAGGGACGAATATATGTAATCATACACTGTCAAACATTATATTACCTTAAAGTGAAAAGGGTAGATCTACGGGTATTTAATGCGATTTTTATGAGCCGAAAGTCACTAAGAGCTTTTCTAAACTATGTCAAATTTATAAGCAGTAAAGGTAATATTTTGGGTACATTGGTATCTTCATAGGACGTTCATATCTGTTCATTTTGTGTCCCTGAGTAATGATACTATTAACAAACTGAACAGGCAAATAATAGCTGCCGCAAAGTGTGATTAATGTAGTAAAGTGGTGAAAAAATGAAGCTTATCACAAACGGTTTATCGTCCAACACCGGATATTTGGCTTCTGCTGTTAACGTTGAACATCATGAATTCGTTTCATGGAGGTCTTTAGACTCATTTGATATTTATGTCAACACAACGTTACATCACAATGTTTTTAGAAATTAGATACTAAATTTTCTGATAAATGATATGGGTAATGCAGGGTGAAATATTAAATGTGCGCTGGCTGGGAGATGACATCCAATGATTTTATTTTTCCCAAATTATCTCGATCGATCGACTTAGTTATCTCCATCTATCAAATTAGTTATCGCGAACGATCGACTTATTATCTCGATCGATTGAGACAGCGTATCCCTGTCCGGCTTTGCTCCACTCTCTCCATCGTGAGTAACGGTGACACATTCTCGGCTACCACCCTTCATCTCAAACCTGCGGCTCAACGAAGGTGACGAGAAGAGTAGCCGGGAACTCCAGGAAACGCACTTCGTAGCCTTCACTCAACCGCCATGTACGTAACGCGAATCGCTCGTATCGCGACTCGCGCATCTTGGGAAACTCGCCCAACAAGATTTCCGCCTTTGTTAGCCCCTGTCGCAATGTTGCAAATAGAGAAAGCGTGTATCCGACGTGTTTAGAATTTTGGGTGGAGGTTCATGTAAGTTGTCAATCGTTCGTGACACAGTTGGCATACATTTTATTTGTTAGTAGTTCGTAGGGGATCTCTGAGGTGCGCTAGAATCTGCAGAAAATTTAGAACATGTTTTAGATTTTAAGCCGGCATCCGTCACCGCGTCTCCCTGTCTTAGAGTGAAGGACAGACGAGAAACCTCGAGTGTCGTCCCGAGGAATCCCAGCAGTCGAGAGGGTGGAGGCTACTAGGACGCACTTAATCGCTGTCAACGCGAAAAAGCTCGATAGCGTGGCTCGGTGACGAATCAGGCGCCACCATGAATTCCACGGGCCTGATAGCGCGGGTCGTCTCTTCCACGTATCTCTCTCAAATTTCGAGACTGGCCCTTACTTGTCCTCTCGGCCAACAGTTGGTCTCAAGACGGTCACTGAGTTTTAGAACTTTACTGATTTTTAGAACTGCATTGTGTCATTTCGTAATTCTAAATTCAAACATAACTTTTGAGTTTTTGTGGGTTTGTCCATAGATATTATTGCACATGTATTAATTGCTACCAGAAGCCTTATAGCTTCAATAAAATATGATATTTCTTATCACCTGGAAAGTAAAATGATAAAATGAATAGTAACCTTACATTAAGGAATATACCTTTAGTTAAAATCTCCCGTATGTTTGTTTTTTTTTTAAAACTTTTTAATAAACAAACAACATACTATGTATTCGTCGCGCGCTTTAATTATTTAGCATCAAAATAAACATTAAATTTTGAAAACAATATATTCAGCGTATATTTTCTATATGTGACATAATTAATTTTGTCTGAAATAACCCGTCATCAAACTGTTTGATATATGTATCCAGCTGGATCATGTGATAAAATAACTCTCAAAATATATACGTATGTAACTTTTCAATTCGGTGATTGTATGTGAATCGGGTTGTATATGCAGTTTAATCAAGTTTATTCCAAAAAAAACATATTTTTATTTTTCTGCTAGTGAGTACGTCAGTCCGTCTTGTTTGAATTACAAATGTGGAATCCCTTGTTATTTTGCCGGGAATTATCGACTGGGAGAATTTGCGACTTGTATTAGTAATAAGCGCAGATGCTATAATATCCTTGAGTTATATGGCTTCTTTACCATGGGACAAGGGTTGAGAAATCCAAACCCTAACGTTTAGCCTTGAAAACCTTTGATTTTTGGGGTGTTTTTTGTATCCGTGTGCCCATTAGGATAGAAGATACTATATTTTATTATTTAAAAACCCGAAAAGACATAGATTGTTTTATGCATGGGACACAGTATCTACACAATAATATTACATCCTGTTTAATCAATGTAATTGAATTCAACATTAGATATTGAAAAAAACAAGAATTAGAACAGTATGTTAACAGTCTGGGAAAACTTACTCATCCTTAAAGACCATTGTTTCGAATATTTTTTTTTTTCTGAATTTTGTTAGTCTTCTGGTATCTTTATTATACAAATTACCTTTAAATATAAGATAAACTGCACCCACAGAACAATTCGTTCTAAGAAATACGATTCAAAACATCCTGTCAATTAACTGATACACAAATCCAGTATTGGATCTAAGGGAGGAGGTGAGCAATGTGGGCAAATGCCCCATCCCCACCCAACACACACGCGCGCGCGCCCACACGCACACACCATCACACACACAATTTAATTTGATAAGTACAATATCAAAAGTTTCATTGGATGTCCGAGAGACTCTAATTCAGATTTGAAACTATGACGTTCATGGTCAAATCCCTTCGAGAGATTCTGTATTGATACGAATAACTGGGGTTCGTAACAATCCACTGTTGGCTAAGGGTTTCTCATATAACCCTGTATTAGCGACTGTTTGGCTTTAAACATGACTGACTGGGTTTCAATATTTCCAGAATACACGAAATCGATTCTAGTTTTCAAACTGCGTATTTATTTCCTGCATAAATGATCTACACGTATATTATATGTTTCTATAGATACACGATCTGCAAGAACTTTTGGTATACTGGAAGGGGATGGGAGACAGATCA